TGAACGTGAAACTGTTGACAGCTGCGTTTCCCATAAAAATTGGGAAAAAACTTTAGTATTCCCCAAAAGTAAAAAAAAAAAAAAAAAAAAAAAAAAAGTTTTATTCCATTAAATCAGAAACACAATTAAAATCAAACATGAATAACTTTGTTGGTTATTAAAACAAAAAACTAAATAAGTATCACGTCATCATCCTCCAACTACTTCCTGTCTTCTTTCTTTTCCTCCAGTAGCAACATCTGGAGGATGTTTGCTACTCCTCCAGATGTTGGGGGAATGGCAAACATTGTGTTAGATGTTTGTGCATCGAACACAAAAAAGTATAAAAAAAAACAAAAAAACGGGAGATTATTTTAAAATTGGCATGTTTCAATTAATCACATTTATTTTCAGAATTGTAATTGCCATTATTTTAACGGAAATGCAGCAAGTGAAAAACAGCCTCTTTAATCAGAGGCTTCTTCACATTTGTTGCAATACAGACTGCTACAGGAGCGCCTTCCTGCCATCACATCTACAAGAACTCCTTAAATGAGTTACAGTATTTATTTCCAGTGGAATGAATGAAGTATTTCTTAACTGAACTGAAATGTAGTTCTGAACTTTTTTAGGGTTGAAACCAATAATTGGATTAATCAGCTATTGAACTAGTCATCTGGTAATCAATATGATTGGAACATACAGGCTAATAAAATGGCAATTCACTGAAAAAAAAAAAACTTTCAGAGCAGTTAGGACAAAACTGAACCAAAATAAACATTTTGCCATAAAAATAATATATAAAAAGCTGTAGATTTAACAGTTGCTTGAAATGAACAAACATTAAATTATAGAATGCTGTTATTGCACTTTGGCAATAAAACTTTTTTTTTTCTCCCCAATTAAAAACAACTGAATTATTTATTTATTTGCATCTATAATTGTCCTTTGGAATCAATGGAGTATTTTTTTAAAGGTTTTGTTGGCTCTAGTGGCCTTTATTTGAAAGAAGTTCGACAGGAAAGAGGACAATCAGAGAGGGGAAGACATGCGGCAAACGTCGCCAGGACGGGAATCGAACCTGCGACCACCGCCATGAGGAATAAGGCCTCCATACGCGGGTCGTGCTTCGCCCCTGTGCCACTACAGCACCCCAATGGAGTATTTTTTTATTTTAATTTTTATGCATTTCTAACATTGTACTATGTTATTTATTTAAAACTTTATGGCCCCAAAGTAGCTCCATACATGGACCTCAGTTATTTTGGTATAAATGTTTTTATACCAAAAAAACCAACTGCTAATGAAATAATCTGAGGTTTATCTTCTCAGTCAAAGAAACATTTTTTTCTTCTACTGAAAAAGAAGAAAAAAGTTTTTTTTAAAAATATTTTTATTCTGTACATTTATTTTAAATTTTTGGTTTATTTTTTATTTCTATTTTTATAATACCAGTTTATTATATATATATATATATATTTTTTTACCATTTTTTAACCAGTATTTTTGGATCGTTTTATTTTTAGTTTATTAATATTGATTAATAGTTATTATTTTAATGTTTCAGAGATACAAAATGAAAGTAAAAAATAAAACTGACCCGAATCTCCTCAGAAGAAGCAAAACGTTGTGGAAGAAAAATAGTTGATAAAAAAGAGAAGAGCAGCTATATTTGTGTCGCTTATTAATTTTTAATCATATTTAAAAATTTACTTCTACCCTTTTACTCTGAAATTGAAGTAAGCCTCTCGGTTATTCATGTTGCACACAGAGACATTAAAAACTAGGCTTTTTATTTTCCAAGTGTTTTAAAATCCAGTATTAGTCACTTTAAACATTTTACACAGTGTGAACAGCAGAGGTTCACTAAAAACAGAGAAAAAACCCAGAACCTTAGAAAATACCAGTTAAACTATTTAAAGGTAAAAATCTTAACGTCTTAACTCAATTACAAATTTAAAAATAGGATATTTAGATTTTTCTCCCCCATTTCTGAAAATAAAACCCGCAAAAGAGATTGATCAGTTAAATGTTTCAAGCTTTTATTTCTTGTACTTTTGATGATTATGGCTTAAAAATAATGGAAAATCTCAGTGTCAAATTATAAACGTTTGTCACAATAACAACGTTTTTACCAGTGCTGCTCTGAGCAGCAGCTCCTATAATGAGCCCAGCAGATGTTTGCTAATTGCTGCTGGCTAGTCTGAAGGAGCTGAGTGGGGGAGGAGCTGCGCCTCGAAGGCGGGGCTAGGTCCACCCAGGCATTTAACAGCTGAATGGTTGCCATGGAGATTGAAGGATTTCTCAAACAAGAATGATTTTTTTTTTCTATAAAACCGTCAGACTATATTTGTTGTGAATTGTCGTTAGATAAACTTAATTAAATGTAGTAGATGGGAATCAAAGCAACACTCCAGGTTTAACATTGTAACATGATGGAAAGATAAAAAAAGCTGATTTTATATAACACTGCCCCTTTAAATTAAAATCACACACAAAAAATAAAAGAAATAAAGTGTTGAAATATTTCACTTTGATGAAAATCTTTTCTCTTTCTGAGTGAGCGTCCGGTCTGTCTGGGTTTTCCTTTGCTGAGGCGCAGCAGCCTCTGATTCAGCACGCCCTGCATTAAGCCGGGAAGCGAACGCGTCAATAATTATTAGGCTGGGAAACAAATGGAGCTCTTCCCGTCCGGCAGACCGCTTCACCTGGAAGCCCGGCGCCTGGTCTCCGGCGGCCGCCCACTTCCTGCCGACGCGGGGAAAACGTCTCTGCTAGGACAGGTTAGCGCTCCGGCTAACTGAGCTGCTAGCAGGTGAACCCGCCCACCCAGATTACAGACATCCTCACTGGAGCTTCACACAGGTGGAAACGTGTTTGTGATAAAAATAAATGAATAATAAAAATAAACTATCATTAAATAAAGGTTACTTTATTTTAAATAAACATTTTTTATTTTAATATAGGAATCATGAGTGAGCTTTATGGTAAACCAAAATTTACTCTAATAAAAATGCATTTTTATAATACGTTTTTATTTTAAAATATTTTATAATAAAATATTGGTATTACACCATAGAGATAAAAATCTAAATAAGTAAAATTGTCATTATGTTACCATTTTAAATACCTTATTTTTAATGTTGCTACCGTATCATTTTTTATTGTGATAAATATTGTTAGAACTCAACAAAACATTTTATAGCACTTTTTAAAACAAAATATATTACAATAAAGTTTTATTGGTCCATCGTCTTTCACAGATTGCAAAATGCATAAAATTATAGATGAGAGGTTTTTTTTTTTTTATTGTACCATTTGTACCACCTGGCCTGATTTTAAAATGGTTTGAAAAAGTGACTGGGAGTTCTGGTTTCAGTGGTGAAGCAGTGACTGGTTTGAATGTTTTATTCTCGCAGCTTCACCTTTGCCTTCTCGCTGGGCTCGCTGTTGGTCCCGTACGACTGGTTGTGCAGCTCCTTGGAAACGACGCACAGGAACTCGGCCTGGTCTTCGTTTCCGTAGTTATAGGAGGAGCCGATGCTGACGAGCTGCGACGACACGGAGAGGAAATCAGCCAAAAAACCAAATTAATCATCTGAAAGGACGAAAGAATCAGAAAATCCTGGAAATGAACAACAGCAGAGATCCACAGAGGAAAAACCCAGAACCTTAGAAAATACCAGTTAAACCCATTAAAACCAGACAGTAATGCCGACACAGCTTCTGCTTCAGTTAAACATCCCATAATGCTTTGCTGCATCACATGACCAAACAAACACTTCCTGAACCAGAAAAAAGATGAAGGCGAACATCAGCAGCTAATTTCAACCCAATTGATCAATAAGAAGTGACTCGCATCGGCCGGTACCGACGTCCAGGTGTCGACTGGTCCTACCCAGGTGCTGACCAATTACCCATGTATTAGATAATTATGTTTTATAAAATCAAATTTCTGACACCCTCAGAAATCTGACTTTTGTTTCCCATTAATTTGTTTTTCCCCAAACGGTGGCACTAATCTTTTTCCGTACGTCCCCCGACTTTGTGTTTTTAAATAATTTCTTAAAGTTTGGCTTTTATTTCACAACTTTTACTACAGTAATCATTTTAAATACTATTTAAAGACCTGCTAATAATTCAGAACAAGAAAATAAAAGTCAGTGATTCACAAAACGAGGCAACAGAAATCTAAAACACAGACGAGCATTCAGGAGACAAATGCAGAACTACGGAGAGAACAGAGGAGCAGGAGGTTAGCCATGAGCAGAAACATGCCGGAGGAAAGTTTTCCAAGTATGGCGGATGAACAAGCAAAGCTTGGAAAACTGCAACAAGTGGCAGCAATTTGAAGGATTTTTTACTGTAAATTTTAGGGACATTCAGCTGATTGTTTCTTCACAAGCTGCTGAACAGAACCACAGGAGAAACTTGAACATTTCCTACAATGAGGAGCGTGAAAAGCAGCAGCTTCTGGCTGAAATGCGCTGCAGACTGCATGCGTCCCGCCTGTACCCAGCTGTGCATGTTCAGACATGCATCGCCTCATTACTCCCTGCTGCCTGATACTTGTTGTTGTGAAGCAGACTCACAGCGAAAAGGAACCAATATCCTCCACTGTAACAAACCCACTGAGCTTTTAGCTGCTTCAGTTCAGAAAAACGTCCTGGAACTCGTTTTGTTCTGCTCAAACCGGATATTTCTCATTCTGAAAACTCTTTTTTATAAGTTTCAGCTCAAATAAATCAGCTCAGAAATGCGGATTTGGTTTTATAACAATAATAACAGGGTTTCCCCCAGTGTATCATCAGCCTGGCGGGCCACCAGGCTGAAAATTGTTCATTTATAATAAGAGTGAAAATAGCTGAATATCCTCCTCTAGCTACCACTTCTGAGTTTTTTAGATGGTTATGGATCAGAAAAACAAAACCTTCTGCAGACCTGAGATTGTTTAAATCACTCGCTGCTCAAACCAAAATGTATCATCCTGAAAACTCGCTTTTTGTAGTTTCAGCTCAAATAAATCAGCTCAGAACTGTGAAAGTGGTTTTATAATAACATAATGAGGAAATAAAATCACAGACAATAACAAAAGGTGACGGGTTTTCTTTAGCAGAACAAATGAAGAGTGGAAATAGCTGGCAGCTAGGCGTCTACTTGGGACAAACAATGGCTAAAGGGGTGTGTATGGACAACAGGGATCATGCAGTGACCGGCCCGTAAACACGGCTGTGGGACACACCTCTCCGCTGTTGTTTGGCAAAGCAGACTCCTCTCCCTTCACCTCCCTTGACACAATCAGCAGATACTCTGCCTGGTGGGCCCGCCCGTAACCTATACTGACAAGCTGTAACGACCAATCAGAGCACAGAGAGCATGCTCGGGTCATGAATCATCATCCGATTCGCCGAGCGGCCGATCGGTTCTGTCAAACATCAGATTGAGGATTTCTGGATTAATGTGAGCATAGCAGGGCGGGTGAAAGCACATGACAGGAGCGCCGCCGGAGCGCCGCGGCGCAGGTACCTGCTCGAACTTCCAGCCGTCAGACATGGTGGACACCATCTGGGTCAGCTCCTCCTCCTGGCACTGCAGAACCCGGTACACGTGCTTCACTGGAACCTGGCAGGAAACGCGCAACCGAGAGGAAACCATGAAAAACACAAGAACACACACATTCCTGAGAGTAAACGGTTTCAAAACCATTTCATTGTGAAATAACTGATTTAATCATCAATTAATTCACTGAAGTGCCTGGAAGAACATATTTAGTAGAAATTACGACAAATATTTACACATTTTTCATTCCTCCTCTTTAAATATGTTCTGCCAAAAACTCAAGTGACATGATTTTAGCTTCACTTGGTTGTTTCTGTAAAATAAGCAAAACAAAAAACTAAACATTTATGTACAAGCTGCAGTATGTAACTTTTATATAAAAATGTTTTGTTTGTTTATTAAACTGCCACCATGTCATGACAATATGGGACAGATAATCTGAGTAAAAACTGATCGCCTCCACCTCCTCCTTGAGCTAATATTGTCTTCTGAAGAAAACCAGGGTGTAGAATAATAATACGAGAAGCCAGAAAAACAACCAATCAGAGCCAGGGGCGGGGCTTAGCGCTGTCAATCAACTCATGTATGCTACTAAATGTGCTAATGGTAGAGAAACAACTTATCGTTACAGGAAAACGTCATTGGTGGGTATGCTAACTAGCCTAGCCTTCATGGGTGTGACTGACAGCACTAAGACCCGCCTCCTGCCTCTGATTGGTTGTTGGGGGAGAACTTCCATCAGTAATTACATGAACAGATTATCCATACTTTAAGTGACAAATATGTACAAAATACTAAAAAAAAAAAAAAAACCTTTCTCCAGTTTTTTCAATAATAATGAATGGATCTGATTTCAGGGAGCCTCCTGCTGGGTACCTGTGATGTTTTGCAGTCCCGTTCCCTGATCTTGTCCTTGATGAGTTTTATTAATGATGTGATGTTGTAGAACTCGGCTTCCTCCAAAACTCCTGGAGACAGAAAAAAGTTTGATTTCACAGACTTTTGTCCCTTCAGAGCCTCCGTAGGTGAAACAGCAGCTGCCTGAACACAGAGACGCGTCTTACCTTCCTCCGCCAAGTCCCGGTTGAGCACCAGTTTGCCATGCCTCAGGTAGTTCAGCACTGGCCCGAAGTACGTGGGGTCTCTGTCGATGAGATAGGCACCAGTTTCATCCTGCCGGAGAGAGAAATACGGGTTCAGAGGTCAAATATGCAGTCAACTCACTGAAACAGTATTATGCGTTTCTCAGCCGCATTGGGCCATTTTACAGCATAACTACGTTGACATAAGTTAAACTTAAGTTACGTTAACTTGGAAATTTAACGCCTTGACATTGGCCCTGTCTCTTTAAGAAACTCCTGCTCTTTCTGAAGCTCTGCCTCCTAGAAGTCATCCCAACATGGCTCCCCTATTAACCTTTTAACAACGTTTTAACGAGGGATGCTCTGAGAAGAGCGGGGGAGGAGCTGTGCCTCAAAGGCGGGGCTAGGTCCACCCAGGTGTTAACACCTGAGATTAAAGGATTACTCAAGCATGAATGAAAGAATCAAAGCAACACTCCAGTACAATAAATCAATAATTATATTGCAATAGACATGTGATCAGTATCAATAGTTAATACATCTGATAAAATATTCAATATTCAATACACAGAATAATCACTGAACTCTGATCCAGAACTGCACAGCCTTCTGGGATATGTAGGCAGAGGAAAGACTTTAGCTGCACCTCTCGCAGGTAGCTAAGCTAGGTTGATGGAATCAACCAACTCACTCACTCTCTGGTTACTTAGCAACTCACTCACTCTCTGGTTGCCTAGCAACAACCTGCTGTCTCGGTTTAAAGGTTAACCAAGACTCCTAACAGGTTAAAAATAAAAAACAATGGTGAGAAGTGAAACTTTTGGATAAAACAGGAAAGGTCACATCACCAGTTTGGCAGCATTCCAAATATTTAAACCAAAAATCTAATCAATAGTTATCAATAAACTGATATGAATCCTTTATATCGTTTTCAGCCCAACACTCCAGGTATGTTTTTTAAGAAGGAATGACATTATAACACGACTTAAAGCTCAAAAAGGTTGATTTTACGTGATACTGGCCCTTTAAGGTCACTTCCTGTGGTTTTAATGGCTGCACACCGGGCCACACGTGTGACTGCGTTGGGATATCACTGCAGTATTCCCGCAGGTTTCATCCCGATTCCTTCACAACCGCTGGGTATTCCCCTCTTCCTGAGCTGTGATTAGACGGCGCGTCTCCCGGGGGGTGAGGAGAGCGAGTCGAAACAATTAGAGCAGAACAGAAAAGATCTGGAACAACAGGCCCGTCCCGCCGAGGGCCGCCGCAGAAAGGAGCCATCAATTAACCCGTTCCGCTCGCTTGGGTGGCTAGCCGTTCATAAAAAATGGAAAATAAGGGTTGAGCAGCATCGTCTCCGGCATAAATGTGCATTTATGATCGCTTCTAATCAAGTGGGGGAGAAGCAATTTGTTTCAGTGTCTGGATATTTTTCAACACGGGAAAATTGGCTTTTTCCTCAAAAAGTCCAACTTCCAACCCGGTTCTTCCCTTAACGGACCGGTAAGTCCGTTACTGGTGGCTTCAAACCCTCTAAATGCCAGATGTCGTCTCATTTAGAGGGATTATCTGTTTGTAAACAGGCAACTTTACTGCAGAAACAGATTTAAACTCCCACTGGTCGCCATGGTTACCCGCATTCATCTGGCCGTTTTGCTATTAGCTAGCATGTTGTTAGCATGCTACAACTGTTTAATAAGGCTAAGCTAAGAAAAATAATATGATTTATAACAGTGCATTAAAGTGTAAATATGGATGTAGAGTAATAATACGAGAAAAAGTCGTAATGAGAAAAAGTCGTAATATGAGAAGCCAAAATAAAGCTGTAATAATGCAAGAAAAAAAGTCATGAGTCAAAAAATATGAAGACAAAAGTCATATTACCACAATAAAGTTGCAATACAAGAAAACAGTCATAACATTACTATAATAAAGTTGTTCTATTAGGAGAACGAAGAAGCAATTTCACAAAAACTCCTTTAGAAATAAATAAAATTGTAATGAGGAATAACTTCATGAATTCACATCTAGTGAAGTTATTCAGGTGTCATTTTTACAAACAAGGAAATCCTTCATCTTTTAATACATCAGCATCAAGACTTTGAAATGATTGAGTTTATTTAGTAGAAAGACTGAAGCAGTTGCAACAAATCTTCATAGCTATCCATGATTTATTATCATTAGCAATTTTATGACTTTTCTGCTAATATTATAACTTTATCCTCATAACTGAAATAATAATAATCCCTTATTTGGCCCTGATATTCTGTTATGCTGCTAATTTTACACACAGACAGTAAACTTCACAAGTTGAAGCTTCACTATGATAATGGGTGGAAATCGGCCCAGAAGCCTCTCATAGTTAGCACCATTATCCCGAGATGAATTCAACTCCAAAGCCATTAATCTTTCTAATAATGAGACAAAGTCCCAGTGCATCGCCTCTCCTAATGAATCCAAAGCCCTCTCGGCAGACTGACCTCTTTTCCACGTCAAAAATATTCCACAGGAGCCCACAGGAGCGCTATTCCAGCCCACCGGGCCACTTTTTAAACTTTTATATTCACAAGAGTTCAAGTACAAGAACAGGAGGCCCAAATAGAGAAAGACCCGACCTGAACCGCTCACCCAGATCCAGATAAGATGCACTAAAACTAGTAATCAATAATAATCAATATCAATACATGATAATCTGATGCAGGCCTGTCACAATATTTTTTGCTGTACAATAAATTGTCCCATAAGTTATTACAATAAATGCTAATATTGTTTTGAGACAATTTCCATTAATTTGTGACGGTTTCGTGCGTCCATCCCATAATAAACACCCAGTGGGCTGGATTAACGGTAATAATGGCATAATAAAGCTAGGACACATTATTAAAGATCAATAAACTTTAAATTCTAATGAACATTTACCACTGAATCAGAAAACATTTCAAATACAAAACAACAAATGAAACGAATCATCAAATCTTTGTAAAAATTATCCTAAAAAAGTTCAGATCAAAACACCAGACAGACTTTTAGCATCCAGTTTTCAGTAGAGACAAAATACGCAAACAAAAATTAGAGTTTGTTTTAATTTATCACAAGATTAATTGATCAATGTCTTATTGTGAAAGGCCTAATTATTAAACTGGTGGCTTCAACCGACTGACTTGCTCTTCAGTTGCCTAGCAACAACCTGCTGAGGAAGAAGCAGTTTCAAGTTCCCCCAACTTTACATTGTGATTAGTTTTTCAGGCATATCGTCCAGCCCTAACTAAAACTACAACCTGCTGCATCCTTTCCCACGTCGCCTGAACGCACCGTCAGAAGCACACGTGTTTTCACTGCAGGCGCTCCGACGTGTCGCGGCGTGAAAACCCAGAGGAACCTGGAAATCCCACCAACAGGTGAGGTTTAGTTTCACTAAACATGGAACCGGGTTCTCCTGTTTTCAGCAAGTCAACAACACAGCAGCTCTGACAAACCATCAGCTTCTGATCGACAGTCGGGTCAAAACCGACAGCAGGAAGTCAAAACAACAAGAAAAAGTTAAATCTGAAATGCAGAACTGCAGCGGCATGTTCAGGCGTTTCTGCACTGTAGATTATTATTGTTGGTGAATGTCGCAAGAATCAAATGACTTCTGCTTTAAATTAAAAACATGATTACAAAACTCAAAAAAGATTTATAATTCAATTCATCTGATTAGGACAGTTAATCAACATTACCACAATACATGGCAGAGTTAATATCTAGGAATTAGCATAATATTTAAAGTTCGTTTTTATCCCAAGACGAGGAAGCAGAAAAAAGCAAAACGACTCAATATAATTCACACAGACACGGTTCTATTAAGAGAAGTAAAAAATAAAACATTTGCACAAGAAATAACTAACCAAGAAATATAGATTTATGGAAAACAGTTTGTCCTGCAGCTGCAAGCATGTGTGAATTTTTAGTTTCTCCTGGTTCAAATTACCCAAAGAAATTCTTTATTATTGCACTTAAGGCAACAAAATGTTTGTTTCATTAATTAAAACTGGATTATTTGTGCATCAACATCTTTTAAAGTATTATAATACACATTTTAAAGAAAGCTTATGAGATTAAATAAACAATCTACAGAATGCAGCAAATTTTTTATTGATTAATCGTCAGAATAATCGATCATTAAAATATTTTGCAGCCTAAATAAAGATCAGAGCAGTCACTCAGTAAAAACATGAATAAAAATCTGGGCTGTGAAAATTATTACACTCAAAACTTTTTCACCATGATGGTAGCATCGACGTTGCCATGACAACCGTCAGATAGATGGCCAGGATTTCGCCTGTTCCAATAGAGTTCAGGCCGGCTCGCCCTGCCATCTTTAAAAGAAAGCAGCCAATCAGAGCCAGAGAGCGCAGCTGAGCAGCCAATCAGAGCGCAGCTCTGCATGAGCCTCATCAACCAAATCCTCCCACAGGAAACGCCACGGCGACCACTCAGCTCAACAGAAAATGGCCCAGTCAAAGTAAACATGATGGCTGATGGTGCTAAGCAGGAGGAGAAACGTCCCAATAATCCAATCGGTCTCAAAGCTTCTGCAGTCGGACAGTCGAGTCGCATTTTATCCAACTTTTACGTGGTTGAAGTGAGACATGAGCCACAACTGCAGCAGCAGAAGTCGGGACGTAAACAATGGCAGGAAAACTCAATATTCTGCTAATGTAAAAAGATGAATAATTAATGATTTATTTATCATGACGTGTCATGATAAATTCCAGTTATCAAAGGGAAAAAACCCAAACTGAACATGATCAGAAACGTATTAAACATGTGGCTAATGGAGGCTGAAGCTACACTAGCTAAGATAATTTCTTTTAAAAATCTGACTATTTTTTGTTTTATTAAAATATTTCATGTTTTGCTTATTGAGCTGGAAAAAAATATTTTAGATGTTTTAATTTTTTGGTCAACAAGAACTCTTGATTTGACGACTTTGGCTTATATTGGAAAAGTTTGTACACCCCTGGTTTGGCTTTCTGACGCCCACAGCAGCAGCGGCGGGTGCAGGTTTCCAGCAGATAGAGGCCGATGCTATTGGGTATCAGAATAACTTCATTAGCCGGCAGCGCCTTGCTGCTGAGCTCTTACTGCAGGGAGGCGGCGCGGGGGGAGACGATACGGCCATTAAATATTTACGCCGCCTCCCGCCACGTTCCCAGGCACGGCGGAAAGCCTGAAGAAAATACCTCCCTGGGCAGCAAATGGATATGAATATGAAAAGACGGAGAAGGAACAAGAATCCTTTGTGATGGGCTGCGTGAAAAATTGATGCGGTTCTGAAAGCAGAGCTGGCTCTTCACTCAAATTTAACAGGGAAGAAGAGGAGAAATCAGTCGATTAACCCCTGAAGGAGTCGCTATGACGACATCCATTCACCGCGTCGGCAGTGACTGATGGTTATCAATATGGTGGAATAAATATTTAACATGTGACTTCTGAAAAGCAGACAGCGCACATGACAGCACTTCCTCCACTTCCTCCCCGGTCCAAACCCAAAGCGCCAACAAGCTGCAGTCAACAGCATGAATAATGCAGCTCAGCTCCAGAGTCCTGCAGCACGTCGGGCGGCGTGACTGAGGAAAACGGGGCGCCGGAGAGGAAAACGGGGCGCAGGAGAGGAAAACGGGGCGCAGGAGAGGAGAACGCCGCGGCCAGGCCGCCCGCTATGGGGGGCGCCACCCTCTACGAGGCCGCCGCCCTCTACGGGGAGCTGCCGCCCACTATGAGGCCGCCGCCATCTACGGGGAGCCGCCGCCCACAAAGGGCCGTCATAACTTCCCATTTTATCCAGTTTTGTCTCCGTTTTTTATTTTTCATCAGTTATTTTGCTTGGTGGAGAAACTTGAAACTGCTGCTGCCCCCATTAGTCAGCAGGTCGTTGCTAGGCAACTAAAGAATGAGTGAGTTAATTGAAGCCACTGCCCTGGAATATTCTATCGAGTATTATACCAGATTATCTATTAATATTGATCACATGTCTATAACGACATATGGGCTATGGATTTATTGTAAAGCCCTACTCATGGGAAAATATATATTAAAAAATAAAAATATGTAGCTTTTTTTTCTTTAAAGAAATGTCAATTTGTTTTCTAATTATTTAGTTTCGATTAGTTTTTTGAGTACATTTGCTAGTTTTTATTGGCTAAATATAGTTTAGTTTTTTCATACTTTGGTTAATTTTTCAGCACAGAATTTAAAAAGGTCAAAGTATTGTAATTACATTAACACTGATTGGGTATTGAATACTCATCATCAGTTATTGAACAACCAACTCACTGGAGTTTTATCCCAAACTCTTCTGCCGCCATTTTGCGGCCTAGCGTAGCGTAGCCTTTAGGAAAGTTGGGAGTGGCGTAATTTACCAATTAATTTCACATCAGTTCAAAAGGCTAATAAAAAGATTCATAAACACAAATTAAGGATATTTCTATAATTTCAGAATGTTTTAGTTAATTTTACAAACAACAAGTTTCAGTTATAGTTCTTCATTAATTACTGTTATTATTTCAGTTAATAACAAAAATGTTCCCAATTTTAGTTTTCATCATTTGGTGAATTTAGTTAACCTTAATAACCTTAGTTTGATGTAAAAGAAAACATGTAGTTTTCAATTTCTTTTGAGCTTAATTGAACAAATTTATTCCCAGTTATAAAACCAGGATTTGAGTCACTTTCTTTCAAAATGTTTGTTACATTTAACCAAGTTTAATAAATTAAATAAAAGCTGATTTGGGTGCAGAAACGTTGGCATTTCAGCCGGATCAACATGGCTCTGCTATTTATAGACACTTGGTTATAAAAAATGGATACTTTGTGTTGTACTTAACATTTTACACTGTAAAATGTTGGTAACAGATTTAAAAATAAAATGTCTCCTTATGGTTGGGTCAAATTTGTTTCATTCTTCCACTCCAGGTGAGGGCCACAAAAAAAAAAAAAAAAGAAAGAAAAATCATTTAAAAGACCACAAATGGCCCCCGGCCCACATTTTGGCCCCGTTTAATAATGCCAGGATGACTTGTGCTCAGTTCAAGATAAAGTTCAAAATTTTCCAAAAATGTTCAAAAAAAAATTGATGAGAAAGAAAATATTTACGCGAGTAAGTAAGTCAACTGTGTTTTGGTTTTGGATTGGGTTTTTTTAATGTTTCTGTTTAGTGATTTACACAAAAGAAGTGATTTTTACACATGGTATTGATTTGTGAAGATGTAATTTAATTTCATTTAATGAGTGGGATTGAAATAAATACTGAACAGGAAAATTTACATCATTTTTGAGCCGCAGTCGTGTGTATAACAAGCTGCGCTACTGGCTCCGCAGTGTGATGCTCACTCAGGACCCGGGATTGAAACGGACTGATCCATCACTCAGAGGATAAACAGAATAAAAACCCACAAGCTGATTATTTAGAGATTAAGATATTCGCATGGAAATACCAGCTGAGCCGTCATCTCGGCTCAGGATATTAGAGAGCAGGAGTGAAGAGGAGGACAGTAACAATAGATCAGGGGCAGAAACAAACAATAACTGCAGATGACACAGAAATATAACCGAGCAAAAAAACACAGACGAAAGTGTAAACAGAAACACTGAAGCTGGGTTCTGATTAGTAGATACTTCAAACTATCAAATACTTCAGAAAACTTTAACTAAATTATACCAAACTATTGTGATGCAGACTGTGACAAGCTACTCCCATCCAAAATGTTAAATATTAGTAATCACAAGTATTTTCCAAGTATTTTACACTTGAAAATAATCCGGATTAAATGTAATCCAGATTCGTTGTAAATTGTGTTAAATATGAAGCTGCGAATAAGATGCTGACTTCAGTTTCACCCAACCAGAAAATACGGAGCAAACAAAGCAAAATAAAATGATTGCTTATCACCCAAAAGGGTAATCACCACATTATTATAATTTTATAGCTATATTTGTGTAGATGAAATAATTTATTTGCAGATATCAGTGAAATCCGCAAATCACTATGTGACACCTAGATGCGATGCTTCAGATGGAGGAAACTTTTTAACTGTCGGGTCTTAATTTATATTAAAAAAAAGAATAAGAACAAAATCAAACAGTACTATATTTAACAGCAATAATTTTAAATGCATTTTGTTTTGCTAAAGGAAAGATCTAGTAACTTTCACTGAGAATTAAAAAGGAGCGAGCTAGCAGCGTTATGTCATGTGGTGACTGTCGGAATCTAGCTAGTAGGCTAGTGCTAACTAGCATCTACATTTCGGTGAGCGTTACCTGAATTATTAATATTTTTATCAAAATTGGAGTGCAATAAAAAGGAAAATTATATCGAAACCACTTTAAAACCTCTACTGGCATTAAAGGGAAACTTAGTGTCGGGATTCGGGTTTCCGAATCGCAGGCCAGTGTTAAGTGCTTAGTTAGCTAAGTGCTAAGTTAGCTTAGCATGTACCTTGTCGGAATCGAGCTCCGGATCAGCCTGGCTCAGCCTGAACAGAAAGGATTTCGGGTCTCGGCACAGCGTCTGCCTCGTCGTTAGAAAATACGTCCCTCCGACATTCAGCCGGATCCACTTGGAGGCTCCGACCCCCGGGGAAGAATGGGTCGGACATCTCCGGTGAACGGAGCCGCTTGTCTCGGAGCTGTTCTCTGCCATCCCGCTCCACTCCGCGCCTCCTCCGCCCTCGCTTCGGCTCTGCTCTGATCGAGCGGCTGACAGGAAGTGGCGACGCTGCCGCAAGCCGCCGACTGGGAGTCCGCCAGTCACTGCAACCTCCGCGGCCACTCCTACCCGCCGCTGTCCGCCCAGGCTTTCTACACGACTACTGTACGGAAGGCGATTAGGGCCACTAGAGAGACAAAGAAATAATTCTGACATTTTAGAATATGTGAGGTTAAAGTCACAATTTTTATTTTAAAACGTCATTGTAGTTAGGAAAAAATTTGTATATTTTTTGGGCAAAAATCACAGAAATATTCTAGAAAAAAATGGGAAATTTCTGAGTTTGAAAAATAGAAAATTTGCTAGAAAATGTTTCCTAGATTTCTTCCTTGTTTTTTGTTTTGTTTTGAGAAAAAACAAGGACATTTCTAAGTTTGAAACAAAGATTTACCTGAGAAAAGTCAGGGTTTTGTTTTTTTAGATTAATCTGATTTCTGAGAAGAAATGTGGACATTTCTGAGCTTCAATAGTATAAACTTTTCAACTTTTGAAACTCAGAAATGTTCTGATTAATCTCAAATTGTCTGTTTTTAGTGGAATATATATATATACACTGCTCAAAAAAATAAAGGGAACATTTCACTTTAATTTTGTGTGTGGCTCCAAATCCAGGCCTCCATTGGTTAATAAATTTGATTTCCATTGATGATTTTTGTGATTTTGTTGTCGGCACATTCAACTTTGTACAGAACAAAGTATTCAATGAGAATATTTCATTCATTTAGATCTAGGATGTGTTATTTGAGTGTTCCCTTTATTTTTTTGAGCAGTGTGTATATATATATATATACACACACACACAATGACCTCATTTTTGCCATTGTAGAATTCAGACTTTAATCTCAGAATTAAAACTATTTTTCAAAACCTAAGAGATTTCTGAGATTAAATTTCTCTTTTGTAACAATTAGAAGTAACTTTTGTTATCCAAAATGTATTAAATACATTAACGCAATATGAAATACACTAATAGTGGGGAAATTCAGGCAACAGTAAGTTTACCTTTAACATAACTGTAAGAAAGATTAAAAACAAAAATAGACAAGAAAATACTGTACAGTTATTAAAAATAATCTGTTTAAAAGAAATGTTCACCTGGGTCATTAAAAATGTACTGCATGTGTGTGAATAAAAACACATTTACAATAAATTTAAAAAGTGCAAATATCAATGACCTCAATATTTAATTTTAATAAATGAAACCAAGTTTTTGAGAAACAAAAATTAGAACACTTCATGTACGTTTAAAATTATAAATCAACTTTTCCCAGTCGAGTCTTGTCTCGTTCTTTTCTCAGCCCCAACCCGCTCCTTTATCTGGGTCAGACCGGAATCGTGACCCAGTTTTGCATATGAACAAATACTGTTTTAAATAAAGAAATCAGAATTTGAATAAGTGAGTCACTAACTCAGATTCAGAGAATCGAAAGCAGGGATTTAGTTGAGCCATGGTAAATTTGAGATTTGTGTGCATTCTCCCTTGATTTTAATTGCCATCGTGGGAATAATGACGATGCAAAAACAAGAAAAGCCTGACTTCCAATTCAAACTCAGCTTGAAAGTTTGAGTTAATCCAAGAAACAAAAAAAATAAATGAGATTTTGTTGAACATTTCTAACACCTCAAAATTTAGGTTATTAATTTATCAAAGCTTTTTGTTGAAATTCAGCTATTTTTGTTACACTTGGGGAAAAAATAAATTTATGGCACATCTTTGGGCAACAAGAGTCTACAAGTTAGGATCAAAAATCAACTTCAGTATGATTTTAACTGTCTAAAACCAGTCAGTTTTACAAAGACTTTCACACCAAAGCAGAGATAATGGGTCGGTACTTTATTTACATGCTGCAGAAACGTGAGATGTCGTCTCCGCCAGACGCAGTTCAGCGTCGTGGCGAAGGTTGTTAAACAGAAGACAAGACACATGGCTTTCATTTGAATGCCTAAATTCCTACATGCTTTAATCACTGGACTACCAAGCATTAAGTGGAAAATTCATCATTCAACATCTACTGACCTAGCGCACAAATAATCAGAGAGAGAATGAACAGAATCATTAAATTATCAGAATATGATTAAGTCACTGAGCAAATAGAAAATGTATGATATAGTAAGAAAAAAGCTGTAAAATATTATAGTTTACAATAATTATTCACATTCAAAGGCTTTACATCTCAATACATACACAACATGGCCCCTGAACATGACTTCAATCCAAATATGATTCATATATTAGAATTTAAATAACACAGAATGAACTATAGGCTAAAACAATAGCCATCAATAACCTTATACAAGAATAAAAATACAAAAACTGTATCCTAATATCATTGCATTACTCGCTTCAGATTTAATACATCATCTGTACATCACAGTTCTCGTCAGTTACAAGCCAGGTAGAGCGTTTCATACACGATGTAACCGACTGCCATCGACTTGATTCAGAATAGATTCGGTTTTTTTAGAAGAGAAGAAAAAACCCACTTCTGGCGTTCCCTTGACTTTATAGACAGATACAGCAATTTTATCGGTTTATTTGGATCAGATGGATTTCCTTAAACTGACATCCAACCACTCACTGCACACTCAGCTGAAGGAAGAGCGGCCTCCAAACGACCTCAAGGTCAAAAATAAAAGCCTTATAACATACTGCTAAAAAAATTAATTAAATCATTCGCTTTCATTTCTATTGGGCCAAAAGCAAAAAAAATAAAAATGAAAGATTAGTAAAAAGGGCAGAGAGCCCGTTGAGGCAGCCATCTTGTACGCCAACAGCTTTTTCTGATTGCTTCTGAGTGATAGAAGGTGAATGTGTCTGTTCAGCATGGGGAGGTCAGCACGAGATTTTACTTCCAGTAAAGATGAGCCGTCTATGCCAACAAAACAGGAATTTTAACCATGAAAACCAGTAAAATGGGACACAAATTAAAGGTTGCCAATGCAGTTAAAATAACCCCACTTGTTTCTTTAAAAAAAAAATTAAACTAAGTATCTGGTCGGCGCGAGAGTTTATTTTCAGTAAAAATGAGCCGTTCTATCAAAAAAAAAAAAAAAAAACCCGGGGAATTTAGAGGAACCAACTCAACAAAATTCAAAACGGCCAATTATTGGAACGGTTGCCAATGCTGCCAAAAAAAAAAAAAAAAAAAATTATATACATACATTTTAAATTTAATCTACATTTCTGGTGCCCAAAGTGTGTGTGTGTGCGTGTGTAGGGGGGGGGGGACTGCTTATGCACTGATGTGCATTAGGTCAGCACATAAGACTATTTTCAGTAAAGATGAAAAATAGTAATCGAAAGCAAAAAAAGGAGTTTAGGGGAATTCACACCTCGAATACAAATTAAATGGCACAAAAACTAATCTAAAATACCCCATTGTGTAAGTGTTGCCAATGCCGTCAACAATACCGTTATGTTTTTTACTTTAACTACATCTCCAGTGTGGGGAAAAACCTGTCCGTGTATTGAATATCTATGTGTTCAAACGGGATTTTATTTTCAGTGTGACAAAACCAAGATGAGCAAAAAAACAAAACATGGGAACTTTGGGGAATTAACAGCATGAAAGCAAGTAAAATGGTGCAAAAACATATCCAATTTTCTATGGGTTGCCGATGCCGTCAAAAATACCCTAAAAGAAAAACTATTTACTTGAACTCATGCCATGAAAACCAGCAAAATGGTACAAAATCAACTATATAGGTTGCCAATGCTGTAAAAAATATTTTCCCAACTGTGGGGGGAATAAAAAAAACTTGCTATGCACCGAATACCTATGTGTTCAGCACATCAGATTTTATTTTCAGTAAAGAGGAGCCATTCTATTTAATAAAAAGAGGGAATTTACGCCATGAAAACCACTAAAAATGGTACAAAAACAAATTATAGGTTGCCAATGCTGTCAAAAATACCCATTTCTTTTTTTAACTTAAACTACATCTCCAGTGCCCAAAAGAGAAGCCATAGGAACAAAACTGGCCATGCAGGAAAGAGAAGCAAGTGATGAAGTAGAAGCTAGTGGCATGTTTACCCGCCCCGATAGAAGAAAAACAAAAAATCTTAGTAACAGCTATGAAGGCTCACTCAGACCCACGTCTCACTGCAGACCAGCACTCTGCTTTAATTGGACTGCAAGTACCAAGAGACTGAAAAACAACTCCAACACCATGGGAATAAACAGAGGAAATAAAAACAAAGAGGACATGTGGGATTAAGAGACTGAATCAGTTTACAGTATCTGTCACAGCTAGAGAGTAAATGCACTAAAAGTCGGGCTTTTACGACAACTCGCACATATAACGTATGATTAGGATATGGTTTTAATTAAAGATATCTTGTCAGGCTCTGGTTCATAAAAGCTAGATTCTGTGTCATCGTTGAAGCAGGAAACCAGTCCGTGCGTTCAGGATAGTCCTAGCAGTACCCAAACTCTCTCCATTCCCCTCCCGCCCCCGAACCCCAAACTCACCCCCACCTGAAGCAGAATGTACAAAATGGTGGAAGTCTCATCATCCATACGTGGAAAAAAATGCAACAGAAGCCTCACAGAGAGCACAAAGAACAAGCAAAGCAACCCTGAATCCAAAGTTGTATTTTCCCCCCATGGATCTACTCAGGAAAACAAACGAGGTCTAGATGCCAGCGTCTCTAAGAGTTTGTTTACGTTGCTGTGATGAAGGGCACTAAAGAGGGCGTTATTCTGCTCAGTGATTGGCCTCAGATTGTGCTCCTATAGGCCTGGGTTTTGGTGCCTCTGGTAGATCTTTCTCCACACTTCCTGGATCTTCTTGCACCACCGGTCAGCGTTTCCACTGGGGTCCATCAGGTAGTACGTCCGGTTCGGCTGCAGCAACACGAAAAACAAAAAGGCAACAATTTAAAGACTCGTTAGAAAAAAATACCAGAGCGTCTTCAGTCAGAAGCTTCTTCAAATTCACTGGAATACAGACTGCTACAGGAGATTTTTTTCTAACACCACCATTTACAATAACTCACTGAAAAGTTTGAACCAATACGAGTTGCAACATTAAATTTCTGTTGGGATCAATAAAGTATTGTTGAATTAGAGCTGTTGTAAACAAATTTTAGTAATTGAATAATCAATTTAATAAAAAAAAATTTTCCCATAAAATATTGGTAAGTTCTGTCATAATACTGGCCCAAACTTTCATCTGGGTTACTGAAGATATGAACAAAGGAAATGGATAATATTCTGCTGGACGATAAATCGTCCCAGAAGTTGATATTGTTGTTTTGAGACCATTTTCAAGTAATGCAATCATAATGCAAGAACATTTTTAAAGATCAACTTTAAAACCAAATGAAGATTTAACACTGGAAGATGGTTTAAATATCAAATGAAACATTTGTTCTAGTTGAAAATTTTTATCATCCTGTTCTTGGTAGAAAGAAACGATAAATCCTGATGATATTTGTTTTAATTTACGACATCTGACACCAGTTTTGTCTAGTCTGAAGGAGCAGTGGGCCAGGATCCCAGCAGGAACAGAAATAAACTGCGGTTACCGTGTGAACGAAGAAGGTTTTGAAGTTTTTGGCCTCGGGGCGCAGCTCGGAGGACCAGGGGATCTCCCCCTTCAGGACCCGGTTGACGGGATCCACGTAGTACAGGTGAGGCCCTTCGGTCAGCAGCAGCTGCCTCCGGCGGGCGAACAGGCCCTGCAGGGAGTCCAGAGATTTCAGCAACAAAACGTCCACCACCATGTGTCACATCAGTGATATCAGTAATTATTGGTTAGTTTTTGTTTATACATCTTAATTACAGCCAAACTGGAGGCGTAACATTTCCGGTTTTATCCATTTTTCCCCTCCATGTTTTTTATTTTTAAGCACTTTAGAGCCAAAGTGAGAAAACTTTAAACTGCTGCCAGTTACCAGTAGGCTGTTGCTAGGCAACCAAAGTTTGGGGAACCTTTAAACTGCTTCTTACCAGCAGGTCGTTGCTAGGCAACCAGAGTGAGTTGATTCCACTGACCTGGAATATTCTACCAGATGCTGTACATATTGATTACGTGCGTTTATTGTTATCGATTTATTGTCCAGCTCTAGTTTTCACCAGGAGGTTTTGATGCTTTCAGCCTCCAATCGTCCATCTACAAAAACTCTGAAGAAAATGAATTAATGAGATTCAACATTAAATTTTCCTTTGTGATCAATAAACTGTTTCGAATTGAAAGAATTGAGCTCCAGTAGAAAAAGAAAAACTCAAATTTACAAAATTTGAGTTTTTTTCTACAAAGTTTTAGACTTTTTTCTAGAAATTTTATAAGATGGTATCAAAATATTTGTAGTTTGAGAAGTTGCAAAATAAAAAAAAGGGAGATTAGTCTTAAATTTTCTAAAAAAAAAAATGTATAAAATAAATTCTGAGTTTGGTAGAAATTTCAGAATTTTTACTAGCAAATTCTCTTTTCAAAGTTTCATCAGGCTTTACTATTTTACAATACATTTAGAATTCCTGAAAGAACTGAACCATTGAAAGAATATTTACCGTACTTTATTTTTACGCATTTGACCAACAGTCAACCCGTTTCAGTTTATTTTAAATTGGAGGTTTTACTGCTTATTGCGCTGACTGACGAGATTAACGTTTTCAGATGTTTGACTCAACATGTGGAGCTGTTGGTGCATTTCAGTGTGCTGTTCTGCTGCAGAGTTATTAAATAAAAGAGTAATGCAGTTAGTTATGCCAGACATTTATTGAGTCACACACACCTTGCGTTTATCCACTGGTCCCATCTTCAGGATCAGATTATTCTCCACAAACTGATGCCTGCAGAATCCAAAAGAGAAAATCTCAGCACACAGACACTAACCAACCAACTGAATCGTTTCCTTTCAAAATAAAAGCCTCGAGCACAGTGAACTTACCAAGGGTTCCCATTGGTCTGTTTGTCCAGCAATAATTTCTTTTCTTCCTCGGTGAACAGCAGGTCCAGCTCAAACGAGTTGTTGTCCAGGTCATGGATGTACTGCTCGATGTTGCTGCTGGACCGCTGTGGCGGCGCCGAGTCGTGCGGCGACAAGGAGTGCGACGAGCTCGACGGCGCCACCTGCATGTTGCTGAACTGGCTCAGGAGGTCGTCGTACTGAAATTCACAGTTAAACAAATCAAACTTCAGCAGCTGGTGAGTTATCCTAAGGCTTCAGTATGTTTTCCAACAGGGCTGCTAGAGCAGGGGTTCTCAAAACAGGGGTCAGGACCCCCAGAGTGCTCGCGAAATACCAAATGGATGGTCGAAAGATTATTTTCAGATTCATCATAATGAGATCTCAGGGGTGGAGGGCCAAAATAAGAACACATCAATAACTGTCGTAAAGAAAATGTGAATGTAATAAATGTCCCATTAAATATACTTTAAAAGATAAACAATTTTTTTTTTTAAATTAAGTCCTTTTAAAGCTGCAGTATGCAAGTTTTAAGATGTTTTTACATATTTCTTTAGGTTTTCACCAAATCCTAATATTAGACAGATAATCTGAAATAAAAAGATCGATTTCCTCCACCTCCTCCCTGAAGAAATGCACCAAAACCAATCACAGCCAGGAGGAGGGGCTTAGCGCTGTCAATCATCCTTGTGAATGTGCTGCTAAACACAGATAAACAACTTACTGTTACAGGAAAACAGTTATTGGTGGCTATGTTAACTAGCCTAGCATTCATGAAAGGCTATGCTAACAGGAAGACACCGTAGTAGGTGCCAAGACCCGCCTCTGATTGGTTGTTTCCATTTAGCACTGGGAGGAGCTAGAGAAGCTACTTGGTTTTCCCACAGATCATCTCAAACTTTAACAACTTTGTGACAGTTTGAACAAAAATGTAAAAACACTTTTTGGGCGACTCACATTCCCGTAGCAGTCCTCATCGTCTTCAGACATTGCTGGCAGGTAAGGTGTGAGCTTTGGGGGCGTCTGCAGGTGTAAGTCACTCCAGGAAATGGTGTCAAAGAAGGGATGCTGCCTCAGCGGGTCGTACCCTCCCATCTCTTCACAACCGAGCCGCTTGGATGGGTCCAGTGACTGAAGGGAGGTCAGAGACAATACTGAAATAAACCATCCTGCAAACACATTGGATCTGAATTTCACCCAAAGATGCTCCTTGGACTGACGACTCACCAGAAGTTGCTCGACTAGATCCTTGGCTTTGGGGAAGAATTTTTCTGGGAACTCGTACTCCAGCTTTATTATTTTCTGGAATATTAGGTACTCATTTCTGTGACAGAAATAAAAACAAGTTTCCTTTGTTAGCTCTTGTTTTACTACCATCACACTTAATAAAAATACATAATTTTTCAAATCAGATAAATTTGTTTTTTTTAAGTTCAACACATTTCATAGAGGCCCTACACTGTAAAACAAAACCTCACCAAGTATTTAGTCCAGTTTCTATTGCAAATCTCAATACACATTAAGAAAACTAATTCAAAGGTTGCTTTTCAGCAAGATAGGAGCTCATTTTAAGAGCAAATATTAATGAAAAATCACAAGTTACACCAGCAGATTATTTTATTTACAACACATTATAAATTAAATAATCTGCTAGTGGAACTAGTAGTTTATTATTGACTAAAAACAAGCTCCTACTTTTAAATTTGTTTTCTTATTTCAAGCGTGTGAAGATATTTTGAACTTAAAATTAGACCAAAAGTGATTGGTATGACTGTTATTGCAGTGTAAATTCCCTCCAAGCCAACTGGTATGTTCAAACGGATGTGGTCCAACTGGAAACCGATCTGGATCAACTGGTTTATGTTTCAAGAGTAGTTTGTCATATTAAGCAACTTTTCAGACAAAAAAAAAAAAAAAAAAAAAAGGATCGTATCGGCAAGCAAGGCATCCTTTCAAACAGCAGGTTGCATTTTAAACAAAATGAAGATCTAAAATGAAACAAAAGGGTTCTTACCCAGCTCTGAATGGTGGTAAACCAGCCACCAGCTGATAGATAATACACCCCAAAGCCCACAGGTCAGAGCTGCACATAAAACAAATATATTTAAGCAAGAAAGTCTTAAAATCTGAAAAGAATAAAATTATGTTTTTGAAAAGCACCTCTTGCAGGCCGATTTTTCTGTTAGCAGCTCTGGAGACACGTACTGCGCTGTCCCAACAAAGGAGTTTGCTCTCGCTGCAAAAAAAACAAAACACATTTTTATGAACAGATCTTGTATAGCCATAGTTTTAGTTTCCTGAAAACTCTCCCCAGCAACAGTCCTAGCCAATGCGCGTCTAAAGCGAGGTGAACTTCTCCAAAAACGCTTTGTAATCACATTTAGAGACAAGTTAGAAGTGGCAACATGCATCCTGTTCAGGCGTCTTATCCAATTTTTCCTCGGATGCAAAAGCTCTGGTATACTTGATACGCAGTTGGCACAAACTGGATTCTACACTAATAGACCCAAACTTTAAAATAACAGAGTCCTCAGGTACTTCTACAGGGTGTTAAACCTAGTGTCCAAATCAGTGATGACATTTCATACTTAAACCTAATCGAAAGGATCAAACTGGATTATTTCAATACTGTCTGTAACTTACATGCAGGCTAAGGTGGGATACTCCTCCAGTCCAGACAGAGTTACTGAGGCCACTCAGTAACTCCCGGCTGGCTCGCCACATTTAGAGGTAGCCAGGAGCTATCGAGTAGCCTTCACTCTTGGTATCGTCTTATTGAGCTTTTGTAACTGCCGTAACATTCTTCAAAAAGCGGCCCACTCCGCCATGACGTCACGTCAAAACATCCTATTCATTCGTGAACCTTGTCAGAAAACATCTGGTTGCTTAACGTTTTTATTTAGTAGAGTTCAGACTAAAAATGGTCGGAAGTTTCTCCCCCAACAGAAGGAGTTGTAAACCAAACTTGTAATTTTATGGTAAACTTGAGGACAAGAGACTTGGATGGATAGCATTATGGAGAAGGTACCCAGCTAATCATTAGAAACCATGGAGAAAATGCTTCCGTCATGTAGCCTAGCATGAACAAAACTGGTTAGCATCTTGATGTTGGTATGCATTTAAATCTGTTGCGTCAGGGAAATCTCCATTTCTCACACAGATAAATCATGATGTGTGAATTCAAGGTCAGTTCCTAAGCTAGCCAATACCGCCAATTATGAGCCCAACTAGGTGCGCTACTTCCACAGACAGAATAGCTCGGTTTGAACAAGCTATGGCTACATTAGCAAAAACAAACGGAGTCACTCCGTTCAATACTCCATCGTATGGTTAAGTTACATCGCTGCAAAGAGTCAAGAGAGACAGAAGCTGCGTTTCCATTAACCACAAAACTGCACAAATTGAAATTACAAAAACAAAAACAGCAATTCTGACAGAACGTTTGATAGGAAGTTTCTGCATTTGGACGAGTTGATTTTTCAGTGATATCCAAATGGACGCATGTTGCAAAACTGAAATGAAAACATTTTCACCAATGCGCCACATGATCAACATCCAAGTGTTACTACTGGCAGAAACAAATACAGGAACTGGTAGGAGGAGGATGGTTTGTTTTTTGTGCACATTTGTAAATTAACCCCCTGCACTGATGCCATCAGTAGCAGAGCTGCTCACCTCCTTCACTGGAACAGGGAGGAGGCGTTATACCAGTATGGGGAATTGGGGCTGCTGCTATCTCCGACTCATCTGGTGTTAAATGTAGTGAAGGGTATAGGGACAAATTACATAAATATCCTGCTGAACATTTTCCTTCACTGATTAAATGCTGGTCTCCAAGCTTGAAGGGGAAAAACTGTTCTGAATGAAAAACACCGATATAGTGTATCGATGTGGATTAATATCAAAAACAACCAAGTTAAAAAAACCTTCAACTGTTGCCAATTAGCTTAAGCAAATAATCAGATTTTATAGTCTTATACATTTCTCTTGCATATAAATTTACAGTCTATGTTAATGTAACTTTTCTGGTAATGAACCAAACTTTTATTGTGAAAATTCAAACTGGTTACTTCCGGTGCCAAATCAGTGTCAAAAATTGAACTTTGAAAACAAGTTGTGCTGTATTACGATGCAGCGGTAAAGGTCTCTGTGCTGCACCCGAAACCAGCAGTAAACATGCAAGAAAACAACAAGACAAGATGCATTCAGCCCAATGGCAGGAGCAGGTTAGGCAGGTCGCTAATCTGCAGGCGTGTGCCCAGAACGGCATCAAGCTCAGAAATAAGCACAGCCATGATAACAAGACTAACACTAAAATCACTCGTTATTTACACACATGATTTAAGCAACAGAAAAAACACATTTAGCCACTCAAACTCTCATTGCCAGCTAAGCTAGGTTGGTTTAATCAACTCACTGGTTGCCTAGCAACGATCTGCTGGGTAACTCAAACTGCAATTTAACATTTTGAGACTAAACTGCAGTTTACGGCCTCCTCAAAAACACGATGTGAAGAGGAAACTAAAAACAGGAAAGTTTGGCAGTTTCTCAGATATTTAAAACAAAACCAACCGTTAAATGCTGACTTTGAAACCTTTTTTATGAAGCTAGCTAAGCCATCAGGTCGATAATCGCACACTATGCCACCCAAAACGTTTGTCTTTTCCTCTTCTGGAAACCTGATTTTATCATCTTTCAAGGCAGTAAGGTTATTATAGCCATCATTCTTCTTTTAAATGCACTAAAAGAAACTTCATGCAGATACATGTGGATGTTTGGTCAGGGAATGGTAACATTTAATTTTTTACTGCCAAAAACGATTCAAAACAAAGATAACATCCCTTTTATTATTGTTAAAAATATTAAAATGAATGTCCAGGAGACAAAATCCAAAACCAGTCAGGAATCCGTTTGTGACGCAGGGGGAATGGATTACTGGAGCCAAGTGGAAATATTTACTGTAACACAGATTATGACTAAAAGCAGCAGAGATGGGCTGAATTGATGTTTTTGGCTTCACGTTATTGAAGACTCAGTTTTCTTTGCCTCCTGATTCAGAGTTTCACACGAAGTAGTGCTACATTTACTGGATGGTAAACCGTCCCAGTAATGATTGCAATCAACCATTATATTGTTGTTTGAGCCCATTTCAAATAAAATAATGGCATAAAAATTTAGGCTTTCCCTCTAAACGTCCAATAAATATAGAAATGGAAAACTTTTCAAATATCCAAAAAACAAATGAACAGAAATAAAATGGATTATGATGCGTCTGTAATCGCTCATTTGACACGTGTAGCTGAGCAAAGTTCAGCCTTTATTTTGAAAGGTTTGCATTTAGCATCTAGCTACGTCTTATTTCCATTTAGCTCGTCAGTTTGAGCTGGGCGTTGTTGATTTGGAAAATATTTAAACACCTTCTGATGGATATGCAGTATGAATACGTTTGTTAAGGTATGAAATGTGTTTTGATTCATTCTGCAGGAGTTGAAACAAACTCAGCCGTTTGGTTTTACCTTGTTTACTGTCAGACGACAACTGTTTCGCTGTTCCAAAATCGGTTATCTGGATGTGCATCTCCTCGTTCAAAAGAATATTTTCTGGTTTCAAGTCTCTGAAATAAAAAAAAAAATAAAAAAATGTGCAGAGTCAAATACCAGCAGAGAGCACAGGAGCAGATCCTTACCTGTGAATTATCCCCTTTTTGTGTAAATATTCTAGAGCACAAACTATTTCGGCCGAGTAGAACCGTGTACAGGTCTCATCAAACGAACCAATTTTGCGAATGTATTTTAGCAGTTCGCCGTTTTTAGCGTAGCTAAGACCAAAATCTATAAAAAGGCCTGTTAAGGAAAACTTTAAACATCTGAGCAGGTGAAGCAAACAGCTGAAAATCCAGAGAAATTTGATGCTAATGGAATAAAAACAACTTCCTGATCAACAAAACTAAGAGCCACCATGTCGTACCAACAACCATCTTCAGTACGGATGGTTTTACTGAGAAAAGATGACTTGTTTAAAATTTACTAACCAAGTTTCTTAATTTAAAGTTTGTACATTTTCTTAAAGTTTAAATGGTGGCGCTCTTATTGGTATGCTACCATGTCATACCAACAACCATCTTCAGTACAGATGGTTTTACTGAGGAAAGACGACTTAAAGTTAGCAAATGTAATCTGGGGATTATTTTTTAGATTAAGTCACAATTTTCTAGAACAAGTATGTGTGTATATATATATATATAAATGTGAAGCATATGAAGCTTAAACTATGCTACTTTCTAGGCAGAACATATTTACAAACTAACTTTTTTTAATTTTGAGTGCAAAGTGACTCTTTGTGCAGTTTTGGCTTAATTTAAGTATTCTCCATGAAATCAATTACTAAATTCAGGGTCAGTGAAATCTTTAAGTTGGATAAAGAACAAAGTGCTTTAAAAATGACTTCAGCAGATAACAAAAAGGCTGAATGTTGCCGTTTTATCCTTCTGGAAACCCCAGAGTTTGGTTACCAAGGGAGCAAATACACAATAACTAAAACTAACCACACTCACTGTTACTATAAGCTCCAGAACTGGTCATTTTATAATTATAAAAAGTCAGTTTTACAGTGACTCATTTCTCGCACAGTGTGACATCACCTCTGTTCCCAACATAAATAATTATTAACTGACCGTTGAAGAAAAAGAGAAATATTCAGAAAGCTTTTAAAGGAGCATCAGAATGAGCGAGGCGCGTCTGAAAACTGTCAGCCAATGAAAGGATACACAACTTCTCATCGTCTTGAAACGTGAAGTAGAGCTTTACAAAGAACGGGTGATCAAGATTTGACATCAAATCTCGTTCTCTTTTCACGTACTGGACTTTGTTCTCCTTCATAATGTGGCGCTTCTCTAAAATCTTAACTGATGAAGACAAAAAAGAAGAAATATTTAAAACATACATTTTTACTAGAAGACTAACATTCAGTTAATGGTTGAGTCATTACTAACTTGCATATTCTTTCCCTGTGGCCAACTCTTTTGCAAGAACAACCTGAGGAACAAAAACAAGGAAAACATTAAATACATTAAAGTTGCAGTTTGTAATTTTTATAGAATATGTACGTTTTAAGTATTTGTTGAAAATGTCAGTTTGGTATGAGACTCCTCCTCCCAATGCTAATTACAAACAGCCAATCAGAGCCAGGAGGCGGGTTTTAGTGCTGTCAATCAACCTAGTAAAAACGGTAAAACTGTTTATCCGCCGTCATGCTAACCAGCCTTAGCATTCATGACATTATCTGCTATGATGTAGCCAGAGAATGCCAACTGCACCACAGCAGAAAATGCCAACATTTGGGTAATAATTGGCTATAGTCATTAGCATTCTAGCAACCACATAGGCCTGTCAAATTTTGCTGGATGATCAATTCTACCAGAAATGGTGATAATTATAATATTGCCATGCTATAGCTGAATGTGGCTAGCATTCTTTGCTAGCCACAGCATAGCAAATTATTAACCAAAGGTTAGCATTCCATGCTAGCTGCAGCATAGCAGAGAATGTCATGAATGCTAAAGATGGCTAGCATGGCAGTTGACTGCGGATAAATTGTTTTCCACCATTTCCATTAGCATATTTAGTACGTAAAGATGATTGATAATCCAAGCCCCGCCTCTGATTGGTGGTTGTTGATGCATTTGATCAGACAGCAGTAGTAACCCAGAGAGGAGGAGGCGATCGATCTTTTCAGAGATTTGTCTCATAACTGTAACATCATGACAGTTTTAACAAATATGTAAAAACATTTTCAATAAAAGTTACTCTGCAGCTTTAATAGCTGCACCAACCAGATTTAAAAAACAAAACATCTTTTTGCATTCACCTCAGATGAACTGAGGGTGACTCATTAATAAAAAGATTGCTACCATGTAGCAACATCTACCCTAAAAACAGAGGCAGGAATTCAGCTGCCGTACCGTTGAGAAGGAGCCCTCTCCCAGAATCTTGCCAAACTTGAAGTCCTCAGGCTTCTTCTTGCGCGGCTGCGGCATCTGGGCGGCCGGCTGCGCGCGGCCGTCGGCGCTCTGGGAGCCGCCGGGTGCTCCTACGGCGCAGGGCTGCGGGGATGAGCCCTCCATGTTGGGGCAGTGACTGCTGCTTGTGCTCGGGATGGCGAGTGGCGAACAGGAGTCAGGGTGGTTTCTGGCCATTGATGGATGCGAGCAGGAACAGATGGCAACGTTGGGCTGAATGGGCACAACATCATACTGGAACAGCAAAAAACATCCAATCAGCTGGACGCCTGCATGTCCTACTGTAGAACTTCCTGGGTTTCATAATTCACTTCAAAACAAAAGCCTGTCACCACAACAATTTTCCTAAAAGATAAACTCAGAAATTATTGCGATAAGTGATTATATTAAGTTGAGACAAAGTAATAACAGTAATTAATAATGCCATAATACAAGACACATTCTCAAATATCAATAAACTTTAACGAACATTTAACACAGGAACTGGAAGACATTTAAATATAAAAGATAAATTATGAAGTTTCTGTAAACAAAGTGGTCCTTTAACAAAAAGGTTGAAATGACACCAAAACACCAGACTGAAAACTTTTATCATCCAGTTTATGGTAGAAAAAGACAAATAAATCATGCAAATGTAAATTGAGTCAAATTACACAATTAATGTATTAATTGCAACATCACTAGTAATCTATTTCAATGTAAATGATTAAAAAAAATTTAACAGTTTTGCACACATCTGTACCAAGTTTGGATAAAACTAGTTTGGATGAAACATTTAACACATCTCAAGAAATCAAAGCTTATTTTGGTTATTTAAAATGTCTTCCAATTCTGTACAAAACCAGGGTTTATTGGAGGGTGAACTCATCAATAAATTGTTTCAAACATGTCAATATTGTCATTTACCCCAAAAATTTCTGGAACAATTTATTGTTCAGTAAAATTTGTCAGGTTTCCTCTCAATCTAATGTTTTCCTGATTTATTGCAGCCCAAGCAAATAAAAGTTGAATTGTAGTGCCATAAAAGCCTCTGAAGATCGATTCATTTAAATAATCTGACTTCAGGTTAATGCGTTAAACCAGATATCAGTTCTGATCAATGAACTACTAAAAGTATTTTTTCTTCCATTAAATAAAAGCATCACAATTAGGAACTCCCACATAAATGTTTGTATGGATAAATGCAGATATTTATGTAATGTTTTAATTTTCTGTGATCCAGAATCAATCTGGTAAAATTTTAGGAACTTGATGGGTTTTTTACATGCAACTAAAATACATAAAATTCAACACTGAGGCATTAAAGTTTTAAACTAAAACTTCCAAACTGAAATGCCTCAATCTATGAAGTTGTGCTCCAAATATAATTAGTCAAACTGGAGTTTAAAGTCAATGACATTCAAAACCGCATGTATAGGAAAACTGATTCAGATCAGCATTAAAAAAAATATTGTATTAAAAAAAAAAAAAAACTGTTCACATTCTGGGTACAATATTACAAACTTATACCAAGACTTCAAGCTGGTATATTAGAGGGACATGGTCTGGTGTTGATAAACAAATAACTACCAAGGAGCTGCTTCCTGGCTTGGTGGTCCCACCCGATGTCAAGGTCTCCTCATAGAGCAGCAGCTTACAACACCCCAAACTCTAAATGATTTTATATTTAAAATAAAACAAATGAAACAAAAAGTGAAACCCACCAACGACATGAACCCAACAGTCACGTATATAGTGCTTTCTAACCTCTATACTTGCCGTTTATTTCAACGGCAGTTATTCGGACCAAATGCAACCATTAGTGTTTTTTTTTTTAGCTTTTAGCTCAGTTAGCTTCTCTTCATTTAAAACCAAGGTGTGGCCTTTAGCTGCCCATTCCGGACTTGACTCCATTATTGCCAACTGTCCGTGAAATAACCTACAGACTCCGTTACTGAGTCAATCAACATAATAGCTGGTATAAAGCCGTGAACCAACATTTTCCTAACCATGTATACTTTGGTAACAACTAGCCTGTGCGAACTTTCCATGCTAACCAAGCCGTGCTAGCAGGCTAGCATTAGCATTTGCTTATCTTATCAAATAAAGCCGATGTTCTTTGGAAAACAGCAGCAGTTCTATAGAAAAGCGCCCCTTACATGTCAAAAATGACTGCGTGCGCATGAAGCAGTAAATAATGGTAGAGGATAGTGTTCCTAATGTATATGAACATAAACAATTCAAACTGACATGTCCAACTTTATCCAACTTGTGATTCTAGCTGCATTTAAAGGCTCTTCCCATCACGGTGATACTTTGAACGACTAGGGCGCTTTTTTCGGCAAAGCACCGGCCATCATTGACAGCAAGTTACAAACTTGATGCTAACATTTAACTAGCTTAGCATAGCAAACAACTTCAAACCCATCTGCTGTGTTCAGATTCTGGTTCTCGACGCGCTTTACGTTACTTATGTAGGCTGTTCTGTTGAACCTTTAAAAATGCAAATCGAAAACCACGAAATTGACACAAAAATAGTACCTTCTAGAGAAAGGTTGAACGTACTAAAGCTAACTTTAGCTTGCTAGCAACTGGAGTATCGGTCGAAAGCGCGAACCAACGCCAACACTAGTCGTCCATTGCCGAACAGGGGGGAATAGTCCTATACAGTTTCAAAACACACCATTATACACTCTTGAGTTATTATCTGCTTCAGAGGTAATTAAAAAGCAGGTCGTCATGGACTAATCCAAAAGCCGGAAAGCCTCAGATAGCTTAAACCCTGCGATGCTAACGATGCTAGTGAGTCACAGCGATATTTTATAGACGAAGGCCGCAGATAACTACTTCTTCTGATCCAGCTGCTACACGCCACAATCCGCGCACCGGCTTCGAAGACCCACTCTCGGGAAGTTTTAACACTTACCATCTGACTTGTAGCTCTTGCCATGTGAGTTTTCCGTGAGTATTTATTTGGAATAAAATAATTAGAGAAGCTCCAGTAATGGCTGCCTCCGTGCCTTCATTTTCGAGGTGTGACGTCGTTCCACAACAATGTTACCGCAGGACAGCAGAGGAGAGTCCTGCCGTGTCAGTGTCCGCCCCCACCGCCACGAACAACCCGCTGAACTTTATAGCGCAAGGCTCGATCATATTCGCACAACATGTGGCCTGCAAACTGCTTGGACCGCACACTGGAACTGGGTTTTATTTATTCTGCCATCAGTGTGCAACAACCTAGTTATGATTTGAAGACCAAGTCATGTAGTTCCTGAGTTGGGCCATTCTAGTGTGATCCAAACACATTAAAAAAAAGCCATTTGTTTAAATTTCACAAATCAAATAATCGTTTTAAAATTTTTATTAAAACTATTAGAAAAATCAAGCCAAGTTTTTAAAGAGTGCAAGTGCAGCACTATACCAGTTCTAGGTGCATAAAAAGCTTTTAAAAAGTACTTTATTAAACTTTTACAAATCAAATAAATGCTAAACAAACCAAGATGCCATTAGTATACAACAATCTAGTCCAGATTTGAAGAGTCTAAATAATGTAGTTCCTGAGTTGGACCACTCCTAGTGTGATCCAGATGGATAAAAAAAAAAAAAAAAAAAAAAACTTTAAAATTGCTTTTTATTCAACTCTTACAAATCAAATAAAACTTGCATCAAAGAAATGATTTTAAATATTCTATTACTATGCAGATGACATCTAGCTTGTTTTACCCCAAGGAATCTGGAATAGTTAGCTTCACACACAAAGTTAATTTTAGTTGATACAACTTGCTATAAATTTTTGTTCTAAAGTCAAGGAATTTTGGTGAATTTATTTATTCACTGCAACTATTAACATACCTGGTAAAATCATGGTGAATCTGATGTTTTGTCCTTAATAATTCACTTTTAGTCTTGTGTAGTTTATGTCTTGATCGGTGTTTCCCAGCCTGGTCCTCTAGACTCACTGCCCTCCATGTTTTAAGTATTTCCTTGCTTCAGTCCAGCTGATTTCAATCAATGACTAATTAACAGGCATTTTCTGAACCGCAATCAGTTGAATTAGGCACGGTAAAGCAAGGAAACCTCTAAAACATGTGGGACAGTGAGCCTTGAGGACCAGGGTTGGGAAACACTGACCTAGACCAGGGGTGTCAAACTCCAGTCCTCTGCTGTCCTGCAGTTTTTAGATGTGCCACAGGTACAAAACACTGGAATGAAATGGCTTAATTACCTGCTTCTTGTGTAGATCAGTTCTCCAGAGCCTTGCTAACGACCTAATTATTCTATTCAGGTGGTGCAGCAGAGGCACATCTAAAAGTTGCAGGACACCTGCGGTCTAGATGGTTTCTACATGCTACAAAAAAACTACATTTTCCATTTTCAACACAATAGCTTCATTGCTTGAAAATCATTGTATCTTTAATTTATTTACAGTATTCCAACTTTTAATTGTGTTGTTATTCAAATGCACTACACAAAAAAATTAGGAAATTTTCTAGTCTTTTCTGGAAAACATTATTAGTCTTCATCTTCATCATCTTCATCTTCACGCTGTGAAAGTGTCGACTCGTCGTTGATTCCTGAGTTTTCAGGCTCTTCGCCATCTTCTGATGCGTCGCTGTCTTCACTGGAATCATCATCTTCAACGACACTAAACAGAAATCACAATTTAATGTCAGGAATAAGACTGGATTTTTAATCTAAGTAAAAATGCTCATCAAAGATACAGTTATTTTCAACTTAAATTGGCTTAGGCTTAAATTTCATAACAAAACCAGAAAAGAACAGTTATGTTGCACAAGAAAAGGAAATGACCCAGCATTGTTTATATCTATATAGCAGATGTAAAATCATCAAAAACACGTTGGAGGCAAAACTTTCTAAAGTTTTCAGTTTATGCATCTCAATTTTCAGTTACCCCAAAATGTTATAGACAAAAACAATGAGGCAGGTCTTTATCCTCCTGTACATCATCACTATCAGGTTTTATTGCATTGTTTTGGTGTGGAGCTCTTCAGATAGCAGCTTAACCAAACGTTATTCTGCTGTGACACCAAATAAAAACCAATAACAGCAGCAGGTCAGGATGTCAAGCTCCAGCAGCATCACACAACTTTCTCCACTGCTTAACACACATTTTATCTGAACTTTAACATGTTTGTGGCTAAATCTGAATTTATTTAACGCTATGAAGCGTTTACCTCAGAGGTCTGTTGAGATTTCTACACTCCACTCCAGAGTTAACATCAAACGGGTCTGTAACAAAAACAAAATTTTACTGCAAATTATATACCTCTCTCTAGTAACTCACATTTTCCAGGTACATAGCACCATTTTATAGCACATGACTTAAAAAGAATTGACTTCGTAATTCAACGCCTTGAAATTGGGCCTCTATCTCTTTAAGAATTTCTGCTCTTTCTGAAGCTCCGCCTCCAGGAAGTCGTCCCAACATGGCTCCTTTATTAACCCTTTAATGTTTTTACCAGCGTTTCTCTCAGCAGCAGCTCCTATAATGAGCTCAGCAGCTGGTTGCTAATTGCTGCTGGCTAGTCTGAAGGAGCAGAGAGGGGGAAGAGCTGTGCCTCAGAGGCGGGGCTTGGTCCACCCAGGCATTTTAACAGCTGAATGGTTGCCATGGAGATTAAAGGATTTCTGAACCATGCATGAAAGAATCAAAGCAACCCTCAAGGTTTGATTCTTGATGAAGGAAAAACATTAAAACATGATGGGAAGATAAAAAAGGAGATTTGCCCCTTTAATACTTTTACTTATTGATCAGAGTGAAATCTTAAAATCTTATTTGAAATAGAAAACAATAATATTACTTTAGTTCTTCAGAAAACTCAAACTTTTCAATAAATAGGAAATATTTGAAGTCATAGAAACAGTAATAAGGCTGAGATAAATAATTTCCGCCGTTTTTTACCAAACTCTTCTTCTTCCGGTTTGGACGTGAGAAACTCCTTCTCCACAGTCAGCAGCTCTTCCTCAGAGCGACATGCAGCGTAGCGGTCAAGAAGAACTCTGTTGAGTTCAAGAAACACCGTCCCCCACTTGAATTTCTTCAGCAGGAGAACCGCCAGTTCCTCAAACCCTGCAGCAAACCACAAACACCTGCAGCACACTGATGGAGAGCTGAAACGTTTGCAGTGATGCAACACAGTCACTTCTCTGTTGATCAAGGCTGCAGCTAATGATTAGTCTATTGATTATTCTATTGATTAATCAGCTAAAAACTGGGCACATTCTGCAGATTTTTAATTTTACCAACTGGGTACACTAAATGATGCAAACAAACAATTTAATTCTTTTTTAAATAAGAAAAAAAACATTTTATTTGCAGCATTCCTTTAGTGAATTTGAAGCAGGTGAAGCTAAAACTGCCACTAAATCAGATTTAGATAAATGTGTTTTAATCATAAGTGCAAAATGTATTTATTTTTTTATACAGTTTTGCCTTATTTGTTTTGAATATGTTGTTTTTGAGTCTGTATACTCCAGTTAATGATTAACTGATTAGAAGATTAGTTGAAAATTATTTCAATAATCGATTAATTCTAATTAATCCAATTAATTGTGACTGATCATGATTAATCATGTTAGTTGCAGCCCTATTAAATTAGTTGACGATTATTTCAATAATCTGATTAATCACAACTGATCTGATTAATCCGACGAATCGTTTCAGCCCTCCTGTCGATCACTGCAGCCTGAACTCTTACCGACGATGGCGAACGTGGCGGCAAACGCCTCGACACAGGACAGTTTGCAGGGCTTGCCGTAGTTGACCGGGTTTGCGGCGACGAGGTACGGCAGCAGCCTGGGGTGGCTGCCCACCATCTTACTGAACGGCGTCTCGTCCAGTTTGGCCCAGGAACAGTCGATCACAGCCAGGCCGCTCTGAGCCACAATCTCTCTGCAATCCGATCAAACATCAGAAAGACGAAGGTTCTTAGAGACAGATCATCACCAGAGAATGAGGAAGAACAGCTGGACGACATGGCTGAAAAAAATCAGTTGATATTAATAATTATTGATTAGTGTTTAAATATCTGAAATACAACCAAACTGGTGGTGTGACCTTTCCTGTTTCGTCCAGTTTTCTCTCTACGTCGTTATTATTTTTTAGCAGTTATGAAGCACAGTGTCAAAACCTTAAACTAAATTTTATTTCAATTATGTATTAATATTGATCATGCGTTGATCGCGGTATAGGTCATTATTGATTTGTCGGCCAGCCCTTGGAGAAACCACTGCATACCTGTCTGCTGGCGTCACATACTTGGTTCCCATGGGACTCAGGATGAGTCCGCTGAACCTCTGGTTGAGGCGCAGGTTGCGTACGAAGCCTTTCCGTACCAGCTTTCTGCCGGTGCAGCGTTTGGGATCGCAGTGACCCAACTCCCACATGGCGAGGGGGCATGGCAGCTTCACCTGCGGGGCGTCCGCTCCCTCCTCTGGGTGGAGGCTGGCTGGAAGGACGGAACCAAACCAGGAGAGTCCGCAGTGAACGCTTCACTTCACCAGAAATAACATCTACATTACTGTATACTGGGAAACGCAATTTATATTCTAAATGTTGTAATCTAAAAACAAAAAAAAGAATAGTCATAAAATTTACAGATCTAATAGTATCTTGTTAAACTAACCATTTGCCATTAAAAGCACAAATTTAATTTGTTTTAATTTTATTTTTTGACAGACCAACTTCAATTAACATATTTGTCAAGTGGAAGGAAAATAACACGTGATTATAATTTTTTTTTTCAAACAAAACCTCCAACATTGCAAAATCTTACCACGTTTTATTTTTGGTCCTTTTGGTGCAAATATTAGCAAACTTCAAATAAGAAAAAAAAAAAACTAAGTCACAAGTAACTTTTAAGCAAGATATAAGAACTTGCTTTAAGTTAATACTTTCTTAATATTTATGAATAAGTACTGGCTTCACTGGCTATTTCGCTTATAAGCAGTAATAAACCAATACTGTTTATTTATTTCCTTTATTTTACAGTTTAAAATAAACATGTCACATGTATTAACAAATTAACCTATAATAAGATCTTTTAGTAGATAAAAATTGCAACAATCTGGTAAGTTAGTTTTCAAAAAAATAATAAGTGAAGAAACATGATTATGATATGAGTACGTAGACGTGAAACACATTTTTTGTTACCTTCTAAAGCAGAGTGCATTTCTTCAGTAAACGTCTCCAATGATTTTCCCTTCATTTTATGCCGTTTATCTTTGCCTTTGCTGTCTGGTCGCACGAACTTGCCTTGTTTCTTTCGCCCCATGTTGCCAGGCTGGGATCTATTTTCAGGCGCTGTCCGCTAAAATATCAACACTAAGCAGCTTCTTGGCGAGCCGCGGACTCTAAATTTCCTTTCCTGAAAATGTTTTCAATTCCATCTGCTCATAAAACATCCAGAAATCCAAACATTTCCTCTCAATCTTAAGTTTTTAATCCTCCTTTTCACTTTACATGGTGGAAAACACGCTACACTGTAGCCTGGGAACACTGCGCATGCTCTCCGGGGTTATTTTTTTTGTCACGTGACCGACCACCTGACACAACAGACGACGGAACCGGAAATGTAGCGATTATTCATCCAAAAATCCATTATGTGGAGTTTAAATAGCGGAATATATGTTTTATTGAGGACATGGCTTGTTTGCGTGTCGCTTTTCTGTAAGTTTTCCATTCTTAATTTTTAGTAAACAAATAGCTGGACTTTTATTTGATAATCGATTTGTATTTTTCTATCCAGTCAGCCTCGGACTGGCTGGGAAAATGAAGATTGTGGAGGAGCCAAACACGTTTGGGTTGGTGAATTAATGTCTAATATGTCTCAGGTTTTCTGCTGCTGTTTTGTCTTCACTGGTTTTCTGTGTTTTCAGGCTGAACAACCCGTTCATGGCGCAGGGACACAGGCTACAGCCCAAAGTCTCTCCAGCGCCTGTGTCTGGTAAAGTGAAATGATCTAATTTAAAACCTGAGACATCCTTAAGGTCATAAAGTCTGATCATTTTGGATACAGCCGCCATAAGCTTAAAGTCAAATTTTATTAACCTCTAAAAATTCACCATAAAACCTTCGGTTCCCTGGACTTCCCTGATGGCGGTTACCTCGTCGTTTCTGGTGTTCCTCAGGGATGTGTGCCGAGTCCCCTGCTGTAAATCCTGTTCATAAACTGAAATGGGATATTTACTTCCAGTAATCATGTACCATTGCTTATTGATTTGAAATCTGAAATGTATCTGTATCTCATCAGCAACTGTAGTAATATTCTCTTAAAGGTCCGGCGCATCTTCATCGTCTGGCAGGAAAGTGCTTCAGTCTCACAGAATCGATGTGAGTGAAACACCCTGACCTGAAGAAGCAACATGCATGTGTTTGATCCATTTCACATCTGATTGCATGTAGAACCAACAACACACCTGTAACCGGCTCTTCTGCAGGTATAAATATGAGTTCTGTCCCTTCCACAACGTGACTCAGCACGAGCAGTCATTCAGGTGGAACGCCTACAGCGGCATATTGGGGTAAGACAACACCAAAACAGATGCTTTCATTAGAGGTTTTAATTTGTGAATTATTATTTTTAAGTGTTTCTGTGGGTCTTTGTTGTTTTCTGGTAGGATCTGGCAGGAGTGGGAAATTGCCAACAATACTTTTACAGGCATGTGGATGAGAGACGGCGACACATGTGGAACCAGAAACAGAGAAACAAAGGTGCTGAAAATACAATTATTCTTCTGCTT